CTTCCCTTTTTTTTTTTTTTTTTGCGTACTTTCAATTGTTGGTTGGACTTGATGCGATGCCCGTCGTATTGATTTTCATGGGTGAATCTATTTTGATGATTTCTATCGTTGTTTTTGTTGTTAGGGTTGGGTATAATTGAAACTCTTGAGGGGATTCGGATTCGATGGCGTTGCAAGAAAAACTAGATAGGTTTAAGAGACAGCAAGAAAGATGCCAGACTACCTTGTCTGGCATTGCTGCATCCAAGACTACTACTACTACACCCAGGTTTACGCCTGCTCCAGCCGCTTCAAGACCTCCGGCTCCTGCCATAAAATTTTCAAATGACACTGAGAGACTTCAACACATTAACAGCATAAGGAAATCCCCAGTCGGGGCTCAGATCAAGAGGGTTATTGACCTGCTTCTGGAGGTTCACACCTATCGCCCATCTTTCTTATTTCCCCCTTTTTGTTTTCTTACTTATACCTTATCTGCTTTACCTGGACTGTTGTATTTGATCGAATTCTTTGGAAGGCTGTGTATAGGATAGGATTTAGGGCATGTTTTTGGGAGTGATTTTAAAAGGGCTAAAATTACTTTTGTCATTTTCATCAAAAGGACTCTAAAAACATGTTTTTTATAATTCAAAATAAATTTAATGTTTGATTTTGTACGAATATGTAATTTTCATAACATCAAAATTAATTTTCAAGTATTTAAAACATGTTTTTAGTGTTTTTTTAATATAAGAAGTGTTTTTAACTATCTCAAAGTCACTCCCAAACATGTCATGTTAATAGACACAGATAGATTCAAAATGAGCAGACCTTATGCTGAAATTTATCATATTTCTTGTTTTTAGTCTGTCCAAATTTTGCTAAATTCGGTACATGTCTTTTTGAATGATCAATATTTGAACCGGGAGATTTGGCTGGTTTGAGTACTTTTTCAGGTAGTGAAACTTATGATTGCCCGTTAAGATGGCAAGAGGAGCTAGGATCCTCTTTAATGGCTTTTATGTGGTCGTTTTCCGTACTTTGTGCTGGTGAAAAAAATGCATTTGAACATGCCAATTCCCTTCCCGTACTCTCTGGGTTTTGAATTGGCTGTGAAAAAGCTAAAAAAAAAAGTCCTGAAATGCATTCTCTCTACTGTTAGTTAATTCAAACCTCAGGGGTATGTTACAATCTTACAGCTTTCTTATTGCGCATGTTAACAGACAAGACAAGCCTTTACACCTGAGCAAATCAATGAAGCATGTTATGTTGATATAAATTCCAACAAAGCTGTCTTTGATAGTTTGCGGAATAACCCAAAGGTGCACTATGATGGGAGGCGTTTCTCATACAAGGTAATTTAATTTTTCAAGCGCCTGTATACTTTGCATGAACTTGTTCTTGTTTGGTTTAAAAGTTTAAACATTCAAGATGACGTTTTTTCCTCTTTTTTCTGTTTTTGATGTATTCAGTCCAAGCATGATCTGAAGGATAAGAATCAACTTCTTTACTTGATTCGGAAATTTCCAGAAGGCATTGCTGTCATTGATCTCAAGGATTCTTATCCAAGCGTTATGGAAGATTTGCAAGTACGTATAATTTAGAATTTTTTAAAATGCTTTCCCCGTTTTAAATCCGAAAAAGTGAAAATAACATATCACCCTTGAATGACGCTCTCCTCATTTGAACTGCTTGGGTAACAACCTTTGTGAAGCTTAATATACTGACTATTTGGGACATCAAATGTCTTGTGTAAATTTTAAGCTTTTAAGGCTGTGTATTTTCTTTGCACAATAATTGGAATTATAATTAGTTTACAATTCTAATTACTCTGGAGATTAGTGCAAGAGTCCGTTGAGACCTGGATTCTTATTTGTATATGACATTAAACATAGTGTAAATTAAAGTTGTTAAGTTATTAAGTTTTGATTTGTCCAATAAAAGGGGTATTTTGAGAGTTTATGAAAAACAACTTTCTTTGGTAGCTGCTGAATGGTGATTTTATGTACCCAATAACCTTAAACGAAAATAGAAGGAAATATTTGTTTACCAAACTAGCTGTGAGGAAAGCCCCCAATGGCCTTCGCTAGTATACCTTTGTGTTTTCTTTTCTCGTTTTTTCTTCTCTTCTCTCCATTCCTCCAGTTCCAGACTGATTTTAGAGAAAGTTCGTTTCTTCCTACAGAAATCTGATTGATGCCTGTATGACTTGCAAACTATTCATGTCAATGTTCTGGGTTCTTGGTCATGTTATACCTCACAAGTCAGCTTGTTTAATTCTCTTCCAGGTTAGACTGTAGTGTCTCCTTGTACACTAGAAGGCTTTGTTCATTCAACAATTCCTGTTTAAGGCTATTGTGAAAACCTTGGCTGGTAGCTTGAAGATTGAAATGAGTCCTTTCTAATACGATTTCTAACACTCAAGGTGCCTTAATAGCTGGTTGGCAAATTTTAGACCAAGTGCTTATAGCTAATGAAGCTATTGAGGACCATAGGGAAAGGAAAGGAAAGAAGAGGGGATTATCTTCAAAATTGACTTTGAGTAAGTTGATGATCATGTGGATTGGGACTTTTTGGACAAAGCTTTAGGGAAGAAAGTTTTTTGGGGTTAAATGGAGAGGTAAAATGTATAGTTTTATTAGGTCAGATAATTTTTTCATTTTTGTCAACAGGAGGCCTAGAGGTAAGATTTCAACAATGAGAGGCCTTAGACAAGAGGGTTCTCTTTCTCCTTTTCTCTTTATCTTGGTGGTTGATGTCTTGTGTAGATGAGTATCGGCTGGTGTGGATAAGGGTGTTTTCAAGAGTTTTAAGGTGGGCAAGGACTTAGTCTTTTTTTCGCCTCTTCAGTTTGCGGACAGTTTTGACCTTCGAGTGGGGAGTCGAGGGGTGAATGTAAATTCCTCTGGAAAGCTATATCTTCAAGTCTTCCCTCTTTTTCTCAATTCATTAATTGTTTTGTGAGAGACAAACTTTGGGTGATTTTTCCCCTATATCTCTCAGATAAGAAGTTACATCGGGTGGCTTCAGTGTTGTCATCTACTGACCAATTTTCTTTGATTTCTTTGCACTTTCGTCACCCTCTATCAGATAGAGAGGAGGTTGAGGTGATAGATCTTCTTTTTATCCTTCAAGACCGGCCCTGGGCGGAGGGATGTTAGAAATTAGAAGGTGGCCCCCTGATCCTAATAGATGATTCTCTTGTCATTCCTTCTTCAACCTTTTATCCTCTCCCCCTGCTTAATCGGCTAATCAGCTGCTCTTGAGGCGATAGTCCTCTCCACTTTATGGAAGATAAAAGTTACAGAAAATGTTAAGGTTTTTTCTTGGCAGGTTTTATTAGGGCGAGTCAATACCTTAGATTGTGTCCAAAGGCATTTCTCCTTCGTCTTGTTTCCGCAATCGTGCATTCTCTGTAGGAGGGATCATGATGATCCTAGTCACTTGTTGTGGGAGTGCCAGTTCGTGAATTACCATTAGGACCGGTGGCAGAGTTCTTTAGGGGTTATTGGGGCTCGGAATAGGGATGGGTGTTCTTTTTTGAAAGAGGTGGCTTTGCACTTCCCTTTTAGGGAGAAGCGTATAGTATTTTGTCAAGCAAACTTCCTTGCTATTTTGTGTGATGTTTGGTTGGAACGTAAGAGTAGAATTTGTAGGGATGTGGGGAAATCTAGAGTGGAGGTTTGGGAGTTGGTGAGCTTTAATGCTTCCATTTGGGGTTCGGTCACTAAACCGTTTGTTAAGTATGATACCGGTCTTGTTTTTTGTTCACTCTTGTATTCTTTTATTTTTTTTCGTAGAAAGTTTGGTTTTTCGCCCCAAAAAAGAATAAATAATCCTTCCCGAAAGTGGTAGAGAATAATGTTATCTATGAGCAGTTAAAATTGAAATCAAAGGATTTAACCCCATGATTTATAATCCTTGTCAAAACTAATGGATTTTCTATCGAGGAGCAAAGTTTTCACTGAAAAACATGAAATAATTCGAAGAGCAAACAAAAGTACAATCCAATAAGAGGAGCCAATTTGAGACTAACCAAACGAAAAAGAGTCCAATCTAAAGGAATAAGGTCTAACAATAGTTACAACAAGTCTGGGAAACCAATGTCCAAAGGGAAGCATTATTCTTATGGTTGATGCATCTAAACTGTAGTTGAGAATTTTCGGAAATATACTAGATTTGCTTTTGGTATAAAACTTGTACCATTAAGTTAAAAAAAGGTGGTAGGGTCTAAAAATCCATGTCACAACAACTTCAGTTCCTCGAAGTGATCTTGGTAGCCAGAATAAAACATTTGAGGCTAGTATGAAGATGAAGAACTTGAAGATAACATGTTATTGAGCTTGAAGACTTTGGTAGGGGATTCAGAGATTCATTATGACTTAAGTTATGCCAACTTCCCAAATAATGTTTGAAAAATCAACGGTACAAGCATTCTTCATGATATTAGTGAAAAAAGATGAACTTTCCTTGCGCTTGTGGATCAGTTTATCAGTTATTGAGAGAAGTAATTATTTTATTTCACTAGTAGATTACTATGGAAGTTCTGTTAGAATTTGGTTCTTTTTATTGTAAATATCTACGTCCATATTTATATACGTCACGAGTTTTACTTGTAGGTATTGATTTGGAGGTTGTTTCTTGTAAAGTATGTCTATTGTTTCCATACTTGTTGATCACCAGTTTTTTGGCCTCCCCAACTTTATGAACTTTGTTTTGATGGAACCGTCTTCTTCGCTTATTAATGAATGGAAAGCACATGGATGTATACTCTTCTTTGGTTATATAATGAATGGAAAACATAGTCCATTAGCTTTACATAATCCTTTCCCCTCTTGTTTAGGCCCTAAAAGCCTCAGGCCAGGTTTGGCTTCTCTCAAACTTTGATTCACAAGAAGATATTGCATACCCAAATGATCCTCGAATTCAAATCAAAGTAGACGATGATCTGAAGCAACTGTTTCGGGAAATTGAATTACCTCGTGATATGCTCGATGTCGAAAAGGATCTGCAGAAGAATGGGATGAAGCCTGCTACCAACACTGCAAAGAGGCGAGCCAATGCACAAAATGTGGCGTCCTCGAAACCAAAGCCGAAGAAAAAGAAGCAAGAGATCAGCAAGAGGACTAAGCTCACCAATGCACATCTTCCGGAGCTCTTCAAGAATTAAAGAACCATATGCTCTTATACCGTCATCTGTGGGCTGATATGCGTAGTCCAAGGACTCTGTAGATAGCATTCAACCATCCATCCATCCCTACTGTTTGATGTATTGCCTTTTGTGAATGTTCTGCTTTTACTTCAAGTAATTGAATAATTTGAATATAAGAGAGAGAGGTTCATTCAACTAGACCTATGACATTACAAGTTGATCATTTGTGCAAACTTCTAAATTCTATAATTTTCAAGTTCATTTTATTTTAGAACAGTTGATATGTGCATTACATTCATTTTCCACAGCCCTATTTGCTTGAACCTTGTATTGCTGATCCATTCGTGTTGGGTGCGTTCAAGTTCAACAACCAACAAGAATTCTCCGTGTACAAAGTTACAAATTTTGATATGACAAAGGAACAATATAGTCAATTATATTTCAATAATTGAACTTGTATATTTTTTGTTTTTCGATAATCGAAGCTACAAAAAATTAAGGTCGGGAATTTGACTAGATTCAGGCTTGTGGCATCCATCCCTAACTCAATTTCAAGTTAGTCGAGCAGGCATCCTTGGAACCTTTTCTTCTAATCAAGAATCCGAATCCTTCCCTAATCCAATTTCAAGTTGGTCGAGCAGGCATCCTTGGAACCTTTTCTTCTAATCAAGATCTTATTATTGATCAATTAGGCTCTCGGATTTACTAATAATAATATATGACCCAACAAAAAAAAAAAAAAAAAAAAAACATATAACCTCCAAATTTTTGGGACAAAAAAGTCAAATTTCACGAACTCTCGGGTAGCAAAATCAAAGGGTCCTGATTTGATGAGCTTGGCGTTGGGTCAGTGTCAAAAACTTAAGGCGCCAATTTGTTGTTATGATGATCGGTTTTCGTAGTCCACCCATTTTTGTGTCCCATAGCTTCTCATCAATGTCCATGGCGGATCTTGAGGCTCAAACCTCCACTAACCCAGCAATTTCAGATAGAGAGACCGCCACACTGTAACCGTCGCAATGCTCATTCAAGCTTACTCCCCAAACCCACATGCCTTCTTCCTTCCCAGAAGCCCTTCAACTTCCCGCCATTTATCCGTCCATGGTAAGATGCTTGATTTCATTTGTTGTGGGAATGCTTCATCTGGGAATTTACTGTTTTCTACTGATTTTTTTGCATTGCTCGAACAGTTTCTCATTCACGTGGACTCAAAGCGCCGATGGGGCGACGAAATGAACCATTGTCTAGGATTTCGGCTTCGGGGGAGCACAGTCCAACCACCAATTTGGGGAAGAAAAGGTTCAACTCTTTGAAATTTCTCTTGACCAAAGCTTGATACCGATTTCCAATCTATGCACTATCTATTCTTTCAGAGGCATTGCCCAATAGTTTTAATTTACAAGTTTTTTTTTCCTATTGTACATAGAAAGGTTTTCGAACACATTTCTCTGCTCAAAGCGAGGGAAAATATTTCAGAAGAAGAAGAGAACGATCTGCTTGATTATCTCTATACCACCCAGTATCAAATGCGGGGCATTGTTGCCGTTTCATTAGGTGAATTTCTGGCCTTCTGCTTTCTAAAATTATGGAAGTTCAGAATCTTGTGTGAAGCTTACTTTTCTTGTACCTGTGCAGGACGTGCCTGTGGCCAAAATAGTGAAAGCTATACCCATGGTGTGTATATGCGTTTCCAACGAAAGGAAGACCTTGAAAAATTCTATGTGAACCCTTTCTACTCGCGAATACTAAATGAGCATGTGATGCCTTATTGTCATGTATGCCTCAACATGTAACCACCAATACTCTCAATCTAACTTCCTTTTCCCCGTAGACTGTCTTGCTGTATCTGGCCAACTTATAAAGTGGTTTTACTGTCTATAACAGGGATTGATTCATGTAGATTATGAATCAGAGGTGGAAGATGACATGCTTCCCATATTTCGGAAAGGAGAGGTATGGACACTATCTAACTTTGTTCCTGGGATTTTTGTGTAAAATGCAGATCTCTATGTTCCATTGTAATGTATGTCATTATTTTGTTCTTTGATGAATGTTGCTTGCGTTGGTGTGATATTATGTATTTCCTTCTAGCTTTTTTTTCTTGAATATCTGGATTCTGGGGGCTTGAAATTGCGGATTTTCGAGTGAGAATTTAATTTTGACTTGGGGGAATGGGAGTATCATAATATTTGGAGTGGGGAGAGCCTCAATCTTTAAATACTGAGCTCAAGTGGGTTTCTGACTTGACTTCTTTAAGGACAAAAATATGGAAGTTGGTTTGTTGATTTTTCTTTTCTTATTATTATGTTCTTTGTCATATATCGTGTACTAAATTTGAAATTCAAGGAAGTTACTTTGAGAATAGTGAGACTGAGGAGTAGGTGTTTGAAGGAACTGCTTGTGTGGTAATGCCCGAAGCCAGAAATTTTTTGGAATGATTAGATCCTTTTAATCAAAATTATCCGAGTTTCATCACACCATTATCTGTTGCATTGAAAACCTGATTTCTCGTGTTTAATATCATTTGAGGTATTGTATAGTTGTTGTTTTGAGATGTTTACTATGTCAAGCTTGGGGGGATTTTGCCTTCCTGGGCAACAAAACTATTTGTATTGGAAAGTAGATCTATTTTCCTATCAGTTGTATATGCCTTCTAATGATCTCTGGAAATTTGGTCCTAATAAAAAAGATATAGTAATCACCGAGTTTTGATGTCAGGAGTTCAATTATGGTGTGGAGTTTGTGCTTCTCATTAAATTTCTTCAAGATTCATTTGGAAAACCTTTAGAAGACGCATTAAATTCTCTCGAGCAACTGGCAATTGATAACCCTTCTTTAATTGTCCAGTTTACACAAGGTATACTTTTATATCGAATCATTCGTTCCGAAACTTGGAGAGAACATCAACATGTATTATTATAGCTGTCGATTTTGAATTTGATATAAATTACTATTGACATGCATCACAATATATGTGATGAGATCGTCTTTAGCTAATCTGTACTAATAAGTTATTCTTTTCAGATATCAGGTATTGGGATTTTTATGTTTTGAATTCATATCAGGTTTAAATTTTAATCCCAGTTGTAAGGAGTTCACACATGGAGTTGTTATACGATTTCGGTCAAGTAAGCACTTGTATGACATTGTATTCTTTTATATTCAATAACGGGTCTTTTAATGGTCTCACCTCAATATAACATGTTTTGCAGTCGAAGCCTTCGAGATGTTTACAGGCAGCTCAGATTACAAAGATGTAAGAAACCCCATCAATTAAGTCATCATATTTGCTGATGTGGTTTTTCTGTTTAACTCGATTTGTTAGTGAAAACACCATCTGCTTATGCCTTTAATATATCTTCCTTCACTGATGAATTCCAATACACCTATATCTGCTCCTCCATATTCTACATACTATCATTAAAAAAAAAAGGTTTTAGTTCTGTGCCATAATAACATTTTAACACTGAAATTTGGAAATGTTTTAACCTCAAATTATGCGTATGTACTTGCTATGTTCAGAAATTTCTTGAATATGACAACACAGCTACTGTATTTATTGTGGATGTCCTAATCGGTTTTCATTTCAAATGTAGATGTGGAGGTCTAAATTCCAACCAATCATCCAGAAAACAGTGTCTCTTTACTTCTCTGTTGACCCAGTAGGGACTGAGATCATGTAGCAAGGAGTATTCTTGGTTTGTTCCCTATACATCATCCATCTCGAGTGACCCGTAGAAGATGGTAGGCTCAATATGATTTGAGTGAACTTTTTGTGGCAGGTTTTGGTACCAGACTTGGTTTTACTCTTAACAAGCGTAAGGACAAGTATATTGTTTTGTATTTTTGACGTTTCAGATCCGATGTCCTATTCCTCTCTATTTTATCTTTCGTCATCACGCCATTTGTTAATTTCTATGCAATTCAATCTGATAAGAGGTATGTGGGTGTCTGAAATTATCGTTCTGCTTGAATGGTATTGCAATTTTGCTTCCTCCCGTTGAACATGTCCTAAAATTATTCTATGGGATTAGGATATTCTGATGATAGAGTCATATTTGGTTGACTTTATGATATTCTAAAGTCGTTCTATTTTTATGGAAACCTGAGGTAGGTTACGAACTTGGATTTGTCACTAACCAATACGACAACTTCGGTGAAAATAACAAGCGATGTAAAAACCTCTCCTATGGTGTGCATATAGACAATCAAAACTGGAGAGGAGCTTTTACTGATGTTGAATCCTTACCAAAGAGATATATCAGGAGAATGACTCCTACTGTTGCCTGATATGATATATCTTTTCAATATTAAAGGCACAACCAAAGCAATCTTACGTGTGTTTGGTTTAAAATCATGAGGATTGCCTCTTGGAATCTTTCATGTATTGTTTGGCCTTGTATTGTAAACAGGAAAAACAGTAGAACTTAAAAGTGCGACTCATTTTGTCAACGGCTTAAATAACTATATATCATTTTGTTCACTCTTCTAAAGTCAGCATTTAAATGACTTGAACTCCATCTCATTGTTCAGGCTTGGCTACTATTAATCTGACATGAAGACAGAATCAGGAGGGACAGGTTATTGCGTTTGATTTCTAGCTTGTAACGTTCTCGACACCCACTCACTTGGATGGTGAGGCCATTTTATATGTGTTCTGGATGTTATTTTTCTATTTTGTACAACTCATATTATAGTTACTTGAGATATTTAATCTACGATGAGAGAAATCTGTATATCGAATCTTATGCAATTCGATGTTTGTGTTTATGCTTATTGTTTCCCCTCAAAGTGAGAGCTGAGGCTTTCTACTTAATTTTGTGCAAACACAAAAAAACCGCTTGGGAACATATGCTCTTAGTTATTGTTCGACTAGTTAAACGACTAACTTAGCTGAAACAGGCCGTCTCCTTCAACACTTGGAGGCTGCTGCTAAATCTTTAATGGGTTCCATAAGTTCTCTTGTTATTAAGTTCAACCTTATATGTTATGTATACATGAAAGGAAATCACATGCTTTTGGATTTAGCAGTTTAATTTAGTGCAGGATCAGTCGCCAATAGCATTTCATTTGACGTTATGTTAAGATTTCCTGGAGATTAAATACTGCTCATAGCCCAACAAATAAGAAACAAGACATCCTCATCCTAAATCTTTACATTGTTTAAACTCCTGATGAAATTTTTGAGGAACAATCATATTATTATGATTCTAAATTGAAGTTAGGATATGAATAGCTTAATGAGAAGAACTTTCTGTATCAATTGGTCAAGAAACTCCCCCACCCCCACGAACACTGAGAAAACTTTACTTTTTCCATGAATTAACTACCCTATGCCCATATGGCTCTTGTCGGATGTTTCCCCTTCATCTTTATCGAAAAAGCAGCAAATGAATTCCATCTCCCCACTGATTGTTCTTCTACACATGGCGCACGCCAAAAAAGTTTCTGCTTCATTGAGTTTCTATGTTTCCAATACCCAAATGTTTCTGCAGATGGATTCTGTAAGTTCTGAGTTTCTCAGAAATCCCTTCTCTTTACATCCTAGAACAGGTAAAAAAGTGGAAGGGGTGAAGTCTAAGATTTCATTGATTTCCACGTGAGAGTTGTACACTTTTTGGCTGTCAAAGCACATGAATTCTTTATTTCATTGCTGTTGTTTTCAGTAGATATTTTATCTTCTCTCTCTCAATTGTTTTCTGTTTGGTCAGTATAATGTGTTGTTATTTTCTTGGCTGGCATTTAGGATAAATCTCTGTCAACATCTTTCTCTCTTTGGATGGAAGCAAAAAGGGCCTAAAACAAATCCAGATGGGCGTGTCTGAGGGAGCTCACAAGTAAGTTTCCTTGGGACCCCTTCTCTGATCACTCTCTGTCTTTCAGTCTTTCTTCTTATACACTTATTATGAGATGGGGGCCGACCATTTCCACACACACTGCCCACCTTCCACTGTCCCTTCCCTTCATCATCTTCTGTTGGCCCCTTTTCCAGCTTTCTCTAGTTCCTCACCACACAGTTAGTTCTGAGTGTCGAGGATTGTTGGGAGGGAGTCCCACCTTGGCTAATTTAAAGAATAATCATGGGTTTATAAGTAAAGAATACGTCTTTATTCGTATGAAGCCTTTTAGGGAAGCCCAAAGCAAAGCCATGAGAGCTTATGCTTAGAGTGGACAATATCATATTATTATGGAGAGTCGTGATTTCTAACACTGAGTAGGTTATAAATTTGAAGGAAGATGAAACGAGAACAAAAAAAAAAAAATAGTTAGCCAAAGTAAAAAAGACTATGAATGAAAAAGAAAGATATGTTGTCCATATCATCTTTTTAGATCCACAAGCTAACTAGTAAGACAGGCGATTTATGTCACTTTTTCTTTTTATCAGTTATTAAGGTCACGATAAAGTAAAGCAAAGCAAAATGTATAAAGTGGATATCGTCACGGGACTTTAATTATAGCAATAACTAGCCATATTAATTAGATAAGGGTTGATGTAAGTTTTGGGTTTCCAAGTGTCCAAATGAATCTGTAAAGGTCCAAGAGATTTCAAGTGTTCTGGTTGAAGTTCATAAAATAGCTTGGTGTTAGTAAAAGAACAAAGGAAAAACAATCATTTTTTATCACACGTCATGGAATCCAGAGCAATAAAGAGTTGCTGATCTTAAGGAATCTTAGGTTATTTTGATCTTACACAGCATGGATTTGCTTTCACACACCCTATCTATTCACTCTCTATGATAGGATAACTAGATCTTAAAACGCTAGCGAGTCTTTTCTCGACAACCTTTCCATCAAAGTATGTAACTCGTTGAGATGCATAGGCTCACCCCATTTGTTCGATGTTCAAGGACTTCATCCAAACAATGACATCCCCGTTTTCAGTTATACTATACGCATGATTAAGTTTAGATCCTGACTTAACACAAGAGACTACCAAAAGACTTCCTAATCAGTGGCGATGTTGTCTTTCCAATGAACTAACGATATATCTTCTAACCTTTAACGTAGAGCTTAGCAACCGCATCTTTAATATTAATGTTTCTTATCTTCTTAAAAAAAGGAAGTTTCTTGTTTGGTCAAAGAGGAAAAAACAAGATTATATGCGTTGAAATGTCTGCAATAATAAGATCTTCTCTCATGGTGTATCCAACCTTTGACGTGAAGAAGAGACCACACAGAGGAGAGAGAGAGAGAGAGAGAGAGAAGGAAATGTAAAGAAAACTCCATAGGTAACAGCCTGAATGGGACAAGACGCAGTTGAAAACACAGAGTTCTAACTTAATTCTAATGCTTCAATCTCACCTCTAATGGACAAATGGAAGTCCAAAGAATAATTGGAGTTTGATGTACCAAAAGGAAAGGGAAAGGGCAAACATAATTTGGTGATATATCTTTTCTTTTGGGTTTTGCCAGCTGCTGCTGCTATCTACTTTCCTTTTGTGTCATATTTCAGGTTATATCGTTTTAGTGGGTTTTGGTGTACCCAAAAAAGGGTGTAATAATCTTCATCTTTCAGATAAAGAGATCATCATCATCATCATTCTTTGAGTTTCTTATATTAGCTTCATGATAAGCCTAGAATCAGACCTTTTCGAACGAGTTTAAATCGTTGTTTCTTTAATTTTAGTTCCTAAATATTTAAATATAATTACGTTCGTCTTTCTATATTATTTTTCCATCTAATATCCAGTTGTGTAATGTGTCTCTGAATCGTGGTCAGGTTAAGATGCTAGTGCACATTAATTTATCAAAATCAAAATAACTAAAATGAGATTCAAACCCGAGTGAACTTACAAGTTGCAAAATAGGTTTTATGGGTAAATTTAAGCATCATCTTATCTTTATCTTATATGAAAGTTAAACTCCAATTTGTATGGTTCATAGAGAAATCTCTGATCAATGATAGAACAAGATCCATTTTGTATCATATTTAAGGAATTTATGGGTTCGGGCCGAATAAACAATGTCACTCGATCATTATCAAATTGACTGCAATCTTTTTCTATCCGAGGATCCCAATCCCGATAGAATGTCTTCTACTTCTAATAGGTCATGAACTAGATCAAAATTTCTCAAAGAGTCCATAAGAAGTGATCTCATTTTTTTTTCATCGGATTTGGATAGAGACCAAAGGTCTTGAACAACCGATTCAGTAGAACTCAAAGGATAAAGAAGCAAGTATAGCTAACATTTTCAAAGAGGTCGAGGGACACATAGATTGGGTAGTAAAATGTTGAGGGGGGCCATGTAGCAATTCAACATTGGTATCAATCTCCCTTATGGCTCTCATTCATGCAGCAGCAGATGGGTTGTGCATGAAACCATCCACTTTCATTTATTCTTCATAGTAACTATTTATACCATACCATATATAAATGAAACAATTTCTCTTATTCATTCATTTATTGCTTTTAAATTAAATGACTACTGCATTCCTTTTAATTTCCTTAGCACATCTTTTTGTAATTTAAAACTAATAGTTGGAAACTTTTATGAAAATAACGATGCAGTTCATAAATTTTACGTAAATTATAGTCTAACTGAACAGTAATTGACATATATTTCTTCTTTTGAAATTCGAGATTCAAATCCTCATATCTCCCATCTGTTGTTAGAACGATCGTATATGAAAGGAGTTAGGACGAAGAAATAAAAGAAAAAGATGGTTAAGGTTTTGGTGACACTTTAAAGCAAAGCAAAACCCTCCATTTTGAGGGTGTTCTTGTTCTTGAAAGCAACCCTTTTGGCACTATTTTGTATGGTGATGTTTGTTATGGTACAATATGCTACTCTCTAAATGTCTTTGCAAGCTACCTTCTACCAAATACCTCCATTTCCCATTTCCAAAAATTTCCTTAATTACGTTTAACTAACATCGTTGCTTCTTTAAACATTGTTCGTATATTAAACCCATCTTTTAGGATACGTTTGAAATTATCGTCTTTTTGTTACTGTCAAAACCATTTCTAACTCGAAATCATCGTGATTGTGAAAAATTATTTATAGAGTAGTAAGGACGAGAGATCAAATTAAATTATTTATATAAATTTGCTTTTATTTTTTATTTTTTTGGACAATGCAAACAAATTAAAAAAAAAATAAAAAAATCAATACAAATCTTTAGACTAAGTTTATTAAAATTAGATATGGGCAATTGCGTTTTGCTTATTATAATGTTAGATTTGCACTGACCGTTGAGGGGTTCGTTGGCTATCTCTTTGGATTCTTGTGAAAATCACATAATGACCATAATACCCTCGTTGCCATCTCTTAACTTACAAAAATGACTTATATGTCCTTATTAATCATTTTAAATTAAATTATTTTATTTTTTTTAATTCATTCAACTATACTTATATTAACTTAAATTATTCGGATCCCAATTTTATCAAAGTTGATAAATTTGCTATAGGCTGGCATGTTGAAATAGAAAAAAGATACGAATTTATTCCAACCCCTATATTGTTAATATAACTTTCTCAAATTCATATACAGTCTCAAATTATACTGTATGAATAGTTTAATATAACTATCGAATATATTGTTAAACGGGTGTTTAAAAAACTTGATAACGTGAAAAATCTGATCAACTCATTCCAACCCCTAGCGTTTGAATTGGGTTATCAACTTATTGGAGAAATGGTATGAATAATTTAATGTTTGAAAATCAACTAGAAGAGTTTTTTTTTTTTTTTTTCTTATTAAAAATGAAATTTTAAATAAATATCAATTCAACTCAACTCAAATATTTTATGATTGGATCGAGCGAGTTAAATCAATATAAT